CAAAACAAGCATATTATCTTTTTGCAAATACTAAAACTAAAAGAAAACATCAAACATACCAAAAAATATGAATATCAAACAATGCTTTATGGTCAACACACATACTTCATTTAAGCTTGGTTTTACATTTCTCCAAAATTAACTCCTCTAGAATAAACGACAACATTCAAAGACTTCACCTCGTATATCGTATCTCAAATCAATTTGAGATCACCTTTCTCTATTCTTATACATGTATGATTCAAACCTTCATCTCCCACAACACTACGCACGCTCCTGTGATCTATGTGTGTTCAATCGAAGAACTTGCAGAGATTTTTGATTAAACAAAAATACATTCCTATTCATCGAAGAATTCTTCCTAGAATTTCAAAGACATATTAGATTTATTCATCTCTTTTTTTTTTTTTTCTTCTTCTTATTAACAATCTTTGGGAACTAGAGGTTTCACACAAAAATATGAGAGAGAAATATATACGAAATTTATATTCATGAAGATTGTATTCTTTGAATGACAAATTCCAAGTGTTGTATTTCTTCATAATCGATTGATTATGGTTCTACAGTATGATTCTCCATTCACAAGATTATAGATGTCCTCTTCATGCAATCTCGGATTAGAGTTTACAGTTTATAAATGTTCTGATTAAACTCATGTCATTTTGTTCTTCGAAAGGATATACAGAAAAAGATGATTCCACCAGAGTTGATTGATGAGATTTTAGTAAAAGAACTAGTAAAGTCTCTGCTTAGAACCATGTCGGTAAACCCAAATCTTTTTGAACAGCTATCAGAAATAGCTTTAGATTCCAAAAACAACAAAATGACGAAATGAATATTTTAATTAGAGATTTTGATAATCACAACTAATTGAGTTTCAGAATTTGGAAAGCAGCTACATCACATTTGTCATGTTCCTTTTGAGAGATAAGAGACCTGATATGGTAGCTATCAGTTGATTGATCCTATGAGTCATTGAGCAAGCATTGTGCATTCCATTTCCCTCAAAATCTTCCATTACATTTTTCAGTTACATTTAAAACATCTAAATTAGAAAAATATAAAACCAAAGTTATAACAATATAAATCACCATATGTATATATATATATATATATATATATATATATATAAACTAGAACCAGAACATGTTCAATTTTATATTTAACATTAGTAGATGATTGAACTAGTATGTATAAAGCTTTTTGTTAGTTTAGATTATGGAAGACAAATATTATTCATGTGGATTTTTTTTGTTTATTCAGAATTAATAAATTATCATATGTTTGGTAAGTTTTTTTGATAATTGGTGACCTGGATTATGTTATTTAAACCTCCAACATGTATTTAATGCTTATCTTTTTGAATGTCATAATCAAATATCCATAAGAAGTAATCTATCAATAAATAAAACATATATATATATATATAGACTAAATTAAAAATATATAATCATATTACAAAGAAGGAGATTCAAGAAATAGTCTCACCATGTTTCCACCAACAACAATAAAACATTCAGATGTTGCATTATATATCATTATATAGAGTTTTCATTACTCAAAAGTAATAAACACATAAAAATGTTGCTTTATGTGGCTGTGTCGCTGATTTCCAACATATTCAATAATGAATTTTGGTAAGTGATAAATCAAGTTCTGACATGTAAATTAATCAACTCGATACTATTTAATACATTTACCAATAATCATTTCAATGATATTAGTACTTGAAAGTAAAGTATCAGCGAAGAAGAAATAAAATATCA